GTGTCCATCCCTCCATGCACTCTTGCCCCCTGAGCTATCTCCCTGTGCATACACAGCCCTTCTATTCTCCCATGATTGATCTCTCCAAGGAGTGTATCTACCTAATGTAAATGTTCAGCTCATATACCTACCTGTCTTTTGTTTGGCTGGAAGCCACAGGAGTGGGTTCAATTCCAGACCTGAAAGGCAGCTAGGGGCCATAGTCTCAGTGGTTCCACCAGACTCCATTAGACCAGCAAACCTGGTCCCTTTTTGAAAAGCTGCTAATTTTGAATGGGGCCCAGAACAAGAAAAGGCTCTGCAACACATTCAGGCTGACATGCAAGCAGCTCTGCCACATGGACCATAAGATCCAGCTGATCCAATTGGGCTTCAAGTATTACCAGATACTGTTTGGAAATTTTGACAAGCCCCTATTGGTGAATCACAATGCAGACCTTTAGGATTTGAGAGCAAAATCCTGCCTCCTCTGTGGATAACTACTCTCCTTTTGAGAAACAGCTTTTGACTTTTTATTGGCCTTTCGTAGAGACTGAAGGAGCTCTGGTGGCATAATGCTTAAGGCATTTGACTGTTAACCAGAAGGCTGGCAGTTCAAACCCACCAGCCACTCAGCAGAAGATGAGACAATCTACTTTCATGAAGATTTACCACCTCGGAAATCCTATGGGGTTGGCTATGAATCAGAATCAACTCAACAGCAGTGAGTTTGGTTTTTGGTTTTGGAGACTGAAGCCTAGCCACGGGCCACCAAGCTGCCTTGCTGCCGGAGCTGCCCATCATGAACTGGGTGTTATCTGACCCACAGAGTCATAAAGCTGTACATGCACAGCAACACTCCATCATTAAATGGAAGTGGTATATAAGAGATTGGGCTCGACACACCTGTGGCTTTCAGACAAACAAAAGACAGGCATATGAGGTGAACATTTGCACTAGGTAGATACACTCCTTGGAGAAAACAATCATGGGAAAATAGAAGGGCTGTTTATGCACAGGGGCAAGAGTGCATGGAGGGATGGACACAGGGAAGAGGTAACTATGGGGAGGAAAAGGGAGGGGAGCTGTTGCATTGTGGTAAATTGTAGTCAATGTCACGAGACAAAGTATATGTGAACTGCTATATGGAAAGTGAATTTGCTCTGTAAACTTCCACCCAAATCACAATTTTAAAAAAAAAATTTAAAAAGAGAGAGATTGGGCTCGAACAGGACAAGAAGGCACAAATAAGCTGCATGATTAAGTGGCCCAAATGCTGATCTCCACTCCAGTCACATTACCTTCCCTCTCCCAGTCTGTACCTATGGCCTCATGAGGAGTTCCTTATGATCAGTTGACCGAGGAAGGAAAAACTCATGCCTGGTTTACAGAAAGTTCTGCACAGTATGTGGCACCACTCTGAAGTGGACAGCAGCAGCACAGCAGCTCCTTTCGGGGACCCCCCCCCAGAAGGACAGTGGTGAAGGAAAAACCTCCCAACAGGCAGAACTTTGAGCAGTGCATCAATTTGTTCACTTAGCTTGGAAGGATGTGTGACTGTACTGATTCATGACCAGTGGCCAATGGTTTGGCTGGGTGGCCACGGACTTGGAAGGAATATGATTGGAAATTTGGCGACAAAGCACTATGGGAAAGAGATATGTGGATAGACCTCTCTCAGTGTGCCAAAGAAGTCAAAGTATTTGTGTCTCATGTGAATCCTCACTGAAGGGTGACCTTGGAAGAGGAGGATTTTTAACAATCAAGTGGATAGGATGACACATTCTGTGGAAACCATTCATTCTCTTTCCCCAGCCACTCACCACTGCCCAAAGGCTCATGAACAAAGTGGTTATAGTGGCTGGAATGGAGGTTATGCATGCGTTCAGCAACATGGACTTCCATTCACCAAGGCCAACTTGGGTACAGCTACTACTGAGTGCCCAGTCAGCCTGCAGCAGAAACCAACTCCAAATCCATGATATGGAACTATTCCACAGGGTGATCTCCCAGCCACCTTGTGCTAGGTTGATTATACTGGACAATTTCCATCATGGAAAGGGCAGAGTTTTATTCTTACTGGAATAGACATTCACTCTGGATACAGATTTGCCTTCCATGCACACAATGCTTATGCCAAAATTACCATCCAAACATTTACAGAATCCTTTATCCACCATCATGGTACCCCCACACATCACCTTGGATCAAAGGACTCACTTCACAGAAAATGAAGTACAGCCATGGGCTCATGCTCATGGAATTCCACTGGTCTTACCATGTTCCCCATCATTCTGAAGCAGCTGGTATGATAGAATGGCCTTCTGAAAACATAATAAGGGTGCCAGTTAGGTGGCAATACCTTGAAGGGTTGGGGCAATGTTCTCCACGAGGCTGTATATGCTATAAACCATCCAAAATGTGTTGCTATTTCCCCAATATCCAGGATAAACAGGTCTAGGAACCAAGCGGTGGAAATGGTAGTAGTACCACTCATTATTACTTCTAGTGACCCTCTCAAAAATATTTTGTTTCCTGCCCCTGTGACTCTAATGCTCTGCCAGTCTAGAGTTCTTAGTACCAAAAGAAGGAATCCTCTCACCTGGAGACATAATATTGATTCTACTGAAATGGAAGTTAAGAATGCCACCAGGCCACTTTGGGCTCCTTATGTCTCTGAATCGACAAGCAAAGAAGGGAGTTACTGTATTGGCTGGTGTGATTCATCCTGATTACTGAGGGAAAATCACATTGATATTCCATAATGGAGGTAAAGAAGAATATGTCTAGAATACAGGAGATTCCTTAGGATGTCTCTTAGTAATACCATGCCCTGTGATTAAAGTCAATGGAAAACTATAGCAATTCAATTCTAATATGACTACTAATGGCCCAGACCCTTCAGGAATAAAGGTTTGGTCACCCCACTAGGCAAAGAACCATGACCAGCTGAGGTGCTTGCTAAGGGCAAGGGGAATATGGAATGGGTGGTGGAAGAAAGTAGTTCTAAATACCAGCTATGATCATATGACCATTGTAGAAACAAGCACTGTGATTGTTATATTTCTTCCATGTATGTGTGCATCAAATATTTTTGTTTTCTTCACTTATAAAATATGTGTACAGGGCTAATGCATTTTCTGGTGTAGGTGTGTTAGTTGTATCATGTTAGGCACACATATATGACTTTATAAGTGTCTTTACTTAGAGACTGTATATGGTTTAAGGAGATGTGTACAGGTACCAAGTTGACTGTGATAATTAAGGTTGTGTGTCACCTTGGCTGGGCCAGGATTCTAAGTGGTTTAGCAAGGATGATATAGTCATCTGTCATTATGAGATCTGATATAATGTAACCATCTCCATGATGAAATCTGCTATGAGCAGTCAATCAGTTGAAAGAGAGTTTCCTCAGGGGTGTGGCCTGCTTCCTATATATGTGGAAAAACTCTCGGGCTTTTTGCTCATTCTGAATCCTTGTGATCTGAACTTGAACTAGTGGTCTGCCATATTGTGTGCCAATTTTGGGATTGTTGCCTTCACAACCAAGAGCCTGCCATCCTGTCTGCCCATCTTGGATTCATCAACCTCCAAAGCCAGCAGGCATTGGTATTGCCTGTCAATCTTGGATTCATCAACCCCTGTAGCTACGTGAGTCAGGAGAAGCCTCCAGCTTGACATCCGACCTGCAGACTTGGAACTTGCCAGCATCTACAACTGCATAAATCATTTCCTTAGGATAAATTTCTCTGCTTCCCTCTCCCCCATATATATATTGTGCTTCACAGGTTCTGCTTCTCTAGAGAGCCCAGTCTAAGATACCCTTCAAGGTCTCAAAATATGACCCCTTTGCCTCCTCCCTCTCCTAGGCTAAGACTTACTGTCCACTCCTTGGGCATGGCTAAGGTTGCTAGTTATGGGGGATTTCAGTAACAAAAGTCTGCACCATTTTCTCTGTTTCCATACTTTTTTCCCAAGGAACATGCTGGTTTTCTTGATTGCATCTATTCCCAATGGCAGTGAAGGGACCTTGGGTTTATCTGGAATCCTCCCTCCTCCAACCCCTAGAGATTATATATCCACAAACACATTCCCAGTAGCTTCCAGTTCTGACAAGTAACAGTGTTGGTGTTATAGGGAGAATACTAGCAAAGGGACATTAGGGCAAATGTGGCAAAGGATGGGGGCCCACATTCCCTGATGCTCCCTTTCTTTTTCCCCAACCTGCATTGACTCAGCATTCTCTGGAAAGCTGACTTCAGAGCAAAGGGAGTGTGGGTAATGGCTGTGGTGCCAGTGACTCCTGACATTTTCCCACGTCTGCTTTGATAAGGTGTCAAAAACACTTTGTGTATGTGTGTGTGTGCTTTCGGTGCAAATTTACAGAGCAGAACTTGTTTTACATTCAACAGTTCACGTACATTTGTTTTCACTTCTCGATTACCATCTCCAAACCTAACCCACTTTCCTCCTCTCCCTTCCCTGTGACACCCCCCCAGTGCCCTTCTTATTTATGCACTTCTGTCTGTCCAGCTTTCCTTCCATGTCAATGCTGCCCCTTAGGTACCCCATGGCCGATCACTCCAAGGGGTGTATCTCTGTAGAGTAGGTAGGTGCATTGCCCTAGGTTGGGTGTTCTGCATGTAAGTCTTACTACTGTTGGGCTAAGACCCAGACCTTGGGAGTAAGTCCTATCCCAGGCCCGAAGTGTATCCCAGGGCCATAGTCTTAGGGGTCCCACCAGGCTCCATCTGACCAGTAATTCTGGTCATTATTGTTTATGAATTTTGTTCCACATTTTCCCTCCCACTCTATCCAGGATTTCCAGGTTTGATCCCTTCCTGAGTGGTTGGCATTGATAGCCAGGCACCATCTCATTCTTCTGGCCTCAAGGTCCATCATATCCTAGGGCTGGTTGTTTCCAAATGTCCTTGGTTTTCTTCACTCTTCTTCGCTTCAGATGAGAGGAGACCATTAGCTCCATCTTAGATGGCTGCTCAAAAGCTTTTAAGACCCCAGTCGACTAGGCTTTTTCTAATTCTCAAAGTCTGCTATCCATTCTGTTGGCTTGGGAAATGACAACTGGCCAAACAAAGGTGCTGGACAAACCCTCTCTTGTGAAATTATTGCCCCAGAACAGAAGGGTAAGAGCCAGGACATGCAAAATTGTCATAAAACTCAGCAATCTGTGCTCCAAAAAGAAAAGCACTAGAGAGGGCATGATTAAAAGGTCTGGTCCTCAAACAAGGAAGGTGGTATGGCTAGGTTCTCTCAGAGCAGCTGTTAGAATGATATGGGAGTGTCACTAGCAGGATTGTTCCTAGGATCAGAAGGCTGAGGGGATATGGCCTAATGTCCTTACGCCTGATATTAGGAATGTTCAGAGATCTTTAGACCTATCATTGTTGACCTAAAACAAGGAATAGACAAAAGGCCCAGAGCAACAAGACTGGAGAACAGTTTGCACATGGCTAAAGGATCTGACCCTAGAAACTGGAAGGCTCTGGAAAGCTGAATTCCAGGCAAAGGAGTTGGTAGTTGAAACGACCCTGTAGGTAGGACTGGGAACTGACATTAGGGAACAGCAACAGTTTGAAGGATGGAGAAAGATTCAGCAGACCTGAATAGAGACTAGCATAGGAATTATGAAGGAAAACCAGGGAAGGGAATTTCACAGAAGACAATGGAACAACGAAGTTACAGAAAAAAATAATCAGTCAGGAGAAGAGGTAATCCAGCCCCTGGAGATGTGGGACATTCCCTCCCTGGATGTCTCCAAATCCTAGATCACGCCTCTCCCCTTGCAAAGGAACAGCTTCTCCAACAAATGTATTTAAGGTATGTTTTTTCTTAAGGGTTAAATTCATTTAAGAAACTTGGATTGTGGATTTGAACTCTAGGTACCTTTCAGGAGAGATGTGTAGCATGGCCTGAGTGACACAGATTATAAAAGAAAAAGCTCACTACAATGAAAGGGCAACAAAGCACAGGAAAGAACTGGTGTACGAAAGTAAAACAAGTCAACCATTCTTAGGTTACTTAAGTAAAAAGCCTTCTAATTTTTTATTCCATTTAGTTGGAGAATGTGGGAAATGTGTCTGTTTAGTTATTACTGACACCTGCACCCACATACAGAGTATAAGCAGTCAACAGACTTCTCCTGAAACTTCCTCAGAGGTGGGTGAATTAGTGATTTATTGTGGCAAAATTTTGTCCTCTAAAGTCAGTTGAGGATGACACTAGAATCAAGTTCAGCCCATAGACCCTGCCCACATCCTTCTTCCTGAGTGTGTCTTCTGGTGCAAGGGGAAGTGTAACTTACTGCTTACAGCACCTCACATTCTCCCTGACCACATGGTTCTCCCCCAAAAAAGCTGTTCTTGGATGTGTAATGAAGTTTGTCTTTTTCCTAAACTCTTGACTATTCTCCGTGTACACACAGAGCTTCTATTCTGTGTCCTCTGGTCTCTGATGAAAGTTGGCTTGTGGCTAAAGCATCAGCCACACTCACTGCAAAAATAAGATTTCTCATCTGAGTGTGTCTTCTGATGGCTGATGAGGTCTGACTTCTTGCTAAAGCCTCAGCCACACTCACTGCAAACAAAAGACTTCTGTGAGTGTGTCTTTTCATGTTAGATGAGGTCTGAATTGTAGGTAAAGCCTCCCCCACACTCCAAGCACTTGTAAGATATCTCACCCGAGTGTGTCCTCTGGTGTCTGGTGAGGTTTGACTTGCAGTTAAAGCCTCCCCCACACTCCTTGCACACATATGGCTTCTCCCTTGAGTGTGTCTTCTGGTGCATAAAGAGACTTGATTCCAGGTAAAAGCCTCGCCCTCACTCTTTGCACACATGTGGTTTCTCCCCTGAGTGTGTCCTCTTGTGTTGAAGGAAACCTGACTTCCGGGTAAAGGCTCGGCCACACTCACTGCAAACATAAGGTTTCTCCACTGTGTGTGTCCTCTGGTGTGTAAGGAGGTGTGATTTCAGGTTAAAGCCTTGCCCACGCGCCTTGCATACATATGGCTTCTCCCCTGAGTATATCCTCTGGTGTAAAAGGAGTGATTTCCGCTTAAAGGTTAGGCCACACACTTTGCACATATATGGCTTCTCCCCTGAGTATATCCTCTGGTGTAAAAGGAGTGATTTCCGCTTAAAGGTTAGGCCACACACTTTGCACATAT